CTTAAGCATAAAACGTTTTAGAACCTTACAGATATATGTAGACCTTGGATTTGAAACTACCTAGTAGCCAGAAAAAAAAAAACGAAAGAGAGGGGCACGTGAATCTACCAAGAACAGCGTACACCATGGACCACTGCACGAAGACGGAAGGTCCGAAAATATTGCATTGAACTTCGATTGCAGTACGTACTCAAGCGGCGGGACCGCGGAATGCCTTAAATTGAGTCGTTCATTATTACTCCGTCGCTGGGCTCGAGATGAAACGAAACTCGGTACGTATTCCCTCCGTTTCTAGTCGTCAGGATTTATGTATCGATAACTTTGACTTGATTTATACAAAATACGTGTAATATTTCTATATCTAAATAAATTTATTAAAAAACTAGATTCAAATATCTATATAACGATACTAATTATATATTATAAATATTAATATTTTTAATATATATTTAGTTGTTTCTCACAAAAAAAACAAAAACGACATACATTTATACGGAGGGAGGGAGTACACCATACCAATGCATGCAAACCCCCATCATTTTCATGTTTCCCAACACCCATGTGGGGTGTCCACACTCCACAGACTTCAACAAAAAAAAGCTTTTGCCTTGAAGCGCCGGAACCGACAAATAAAGTTGATGTTGTTGCTTTTTTTTTTCAAAAAAAAAACTAAAGTCGATGTTGCCTTCAAAATAGTGGTGCCACTGACAAGTGGGCCTACCTGGTTCAGAGACTGTTTTCCCAGCGATGAAGATTACCTCAAGAAGTTCTCACTGAAACCAAACCTGTGGCCTATTTAAACCTCAGCTAGAGGCTTGGGATCCTCCTTCCATAGCTGCATTCTTCACCCTCGCTTCACCTCACCACCATTGCCGCCATCCAAGAACAAAGCGGGAGGCGAGGCGACACAGAAAGCAAGAGAAAAAATGAGGCTTCGCGTCGGAGCTCTTGCTCTGCTTTTGCTCCTGTTCGTCCATGGAGGCGGCCAACAGGCAGCGGAGGCCGGCGGGGATGCGTTCGTGAGGGTCCAGGGCACCCGCTTCGTGCAGAACGGCAAGCCGTTCTTCGCCAACGGGTTCAACGCCTACTGGCTCATGACCTTCGGCGCCGACCCCGCGCAGAGGGACAAGGTCACCTCGGCGCTGAGCCAGGCCGCCGGCGCCGGCCTCTCCGTGGCTAGGACGTGGGCGTTCAGCGACGGCGGCGGCAGCAATGCTCTGCAGTACTCTCCCGGCTGCTACAACGAGAACACCTTCCAGGTCCTTACAGCCACACCAGTCACTTCTTTCCCAAGCCAACGACGACTCAGTTTCTTGAGATGCTCTGGCTCTTTACTGCGTTGTTTGTCAGCTGATGCATTGCCATTTTTTTACTCTGCTGTTCATTCAGGGGTTGGATTTCGTGCTATCTGAGGCTAGGAAGTATGGGATTAAGATGATTCTGAGCCTTGTGAACAATTATGATAGCTTCGGAGGGAGGAAGCAGTACGCGCAGTGGGCGAGGGAGCAGGGGCAGACCATTGGATCCGACGATGAGTTCTTCACTAACCCTGTTGCCAAGGGCCTCTACAAGAACCATATCAAGGTGAGAGAGAGTGCTGTGAACATAGTAATTTTGTTTCATTTGAAACCATAGTAGTTTGCACCGTTTCGTTAGTTGAAGCACATTTCTAAGTCAAGTAGGAGAGTCTTACCTGTTTCAGAAGACGATACTCCTAACGTCTTTAAAAAGTGTAATTCTAGATTTGAACAAAGTCAAATTTTATTAACTTTGACAAATTTATAAAAAAGCATTAAGATTTGTTTCTGAATAAGTTTAGTATGAAAATATATTCTATGATTAGTCTAATGATTTTGGCATGATAAAAAGTTATTAACTTTTATACAGATTTGATTAACCTTAAAAAATTGTTTGTCTCCTTGAAAGAAGAGAATTGTACTCTTTTGGCTTTTGGGGACGGAAGGAGTAGTTACTTTAGCTGTTATTTGACCATGGACAGTTGCATGGCCCGTGTTACTTTTCTTTTGTGAGAAATTTCACCCTTCTTAACGGTTCCCTCTTCTTTTAAGCTGGTATCTTCCTTAGTTAGAAGGTTCAGCTGGCTATTATAAATTCCTTGTTTTTTAAGCATTTTAAGCAAATTATACATTTATTGTCGATTCTTTTGGTTGAACCGAAATCTTTGCCTTGATATTGGTTTTTGAAAACAGAGATACTTTCTTGTTTTGGCCAAGGAAATAAAAATTCATAAATGTGTGGCATTAACATTTTCCTCCTTTTGATCTGCCGAATCACCTTGAGGAGATGCAAGCTGGGCCTTATTTAGATTGCAAGTTTTTTCACTTTCTCTCCATCGCATCAAATCTTTGGACATATGTATGGAGTATTAAATGTAGATAAAAAAATTAACTAATTACACAGTTTGATTGTAAATTACGAGATGAATCTTTTGAGCCTAGTTAGGCCATGATTTGACAATAATTGTTAAATACAAATGAAAGTGCTACAGTGCCAAATACTGATTTCTAACCCTAATCTAAACGAGGTCCAGTGGTATGTTCGAGGTCACAATAAAGGATAGAGTGGTTTTGTCAGGGAGCCATGCGCCTACAGCATCTTCCTTTTTTTAAGTCCAAACCTACAGGCTACACGCCTACAGTACACTATTACTCACAGTCACTCAACCTCTTTGGCTGGCATTAAAGTCGGCTGATAAGTCGACTGAAACTGATTTATTGCGAGAGACTATAGTTTCAGCCTGAAAGCGAAACTTGTTATTGTCTGAGCACTGTGACGCTGTCGGTGAAGACTGCGCACTGTTTGGTGTTTGCACTTCCAAGAGAAACTGCCTAGTTTTACATTCATGGACAGGCAGCAGAAGGCGAGCAGATAAAGGCCAAAAAAAAAAAAGTTGCACAAACTGTGGTTCTTGTTGCTCTGCATCAGACAATCAGTCAAACAATGCTTTGTTCTGGAACTAGGACTGCATACTTTAGGCATTAGCGCTCTTACCTACTAGTAGTAGTAGTACTGTATACTCTTACTAGTTATCACTTGTCTCAATCTTTACTGCTGCTATGCTAGTTCGAGCACGCTTCTGACAAATCTGCTCATATTTTTAACCCCCATGAATCGATCAAAAGGCCGTTCTGACGAGGGTGAACACGATCACCGGCGTGGCTTACAAGGACGACCCAACGATCATGGCGTGGGAGCTAATGAACGAGCCGCGTTGCCAGTCCGACGTGTCCGGCCACACCATCCAGTCGTGGATCACGGAGATGGCAATGCACGTGAAGTCCATCGACGGCAACCACCTGCTGGAGGCCGGCCTGGAGGGCTTCTACGGCGCCTCGTCGTCGCCGTCACGCCGCAGCTCCGTGAACCCGTCGGGGTACCAGGTGGGCACCGACTTCATCGCCAACAACCAGGCGCCCGGGATCGACTTCGCCACCGTGCACTCGTACCCGGACCAGTGGCTGCCCAGCCTGGACGCCCCGTCGCAGCTGCGGTTCCTGGGCGCCTGGCTCGACGCCCACATCGCGGACGCGCAGGCGGTGCTGCGGAAGCCGCTGCTGGTGGCCGAGTTCGGCAAGTCGCGCAGGGACCCCGGATACAGCGGCGACGACCAGCGCGACGCGGTGTTCGGCACGGTGTACGCCAAGGTCTACAACTCGGCGCGCGCCGGCGGCCCCGCGGCGGGCGCGCTCTTCTGGCAGCTCCTCACGGAGGGGATGGACTCCTACGGCGACGGCTACGAGGTCGTCCTCCGCCAGGCGCCGTCCACCACCGGAGTCATCACGACGCAGAGCCGGAGGCTGCAGGGCCTCGTCAGGGCGTTCGTGCGCGCGCGCAAGGTCCAGCGAGGGAAGACGGGCAAGGGCGCCAAGGGCGGCGGCAACTGAGAGTGATGTGCTGCAGATCAGGGTGTTTCGTACCAAGAAGGCGTCTTTTTCGTGCGTTTGGGTCGTAATACGTGTGTGGAGATTTAAGTTTAAGAGTGTGTGTGCATAGATGTCTCCTCGAGATGATTTGAAGATTCATCCGGGAGGCAAGGAGAGTTGTGTACGTGTATGTGGCGTCGTCCTCCGTGTCTTGTGTTCTTGTGGATCACGAGAGGAGCGAAGTTACGTGCAAGGCTATTGAAGAAACAGCCTCTGCCTCTGCAAGTAAGGTTACAACTTCTTATGATTTATATGGAGAGAACCTTTTTTTTCAAATAGTTCCTTCTATTTCTCATCCACCTTATTAGTTGCTCCGTAGGAACCACTGAATGCTGATCAGTGTTCACTCAATTTCCTTGTAAGCTGCTGTCATCTGGTTCCTTGCTGAGCATCAAAGAAAAGAATGAACTAGTACGTCCATTAGATGAAAAAGAACAACATACATTCGTACTCCCCCTTTGAACGCACGATTGAATTTTTTTTTGCAGGAATAGGAAAAACACAACAAAAAAACAATGAGGCTGAATTGGATGTTTTTTTTCCTATGGTTTTCCTGTGAAATCAAAGACAAAAGAAAGTTTCCTATGTTTTTTCTATGACCAATTCCTATGAACCAAACGATGCTATAGTAACTCCATCCATAGGAATGGAAATCCTACACTTTTCCTTTGTTTTTACTACAATCCAAAGGGGCCAAAGTACTGGACCAGTTATCTTCCCAGCATTTGTTTGCTGCTTGTATCCTGGTTCTGCATCACGACGGTGGGAAACTAACAAGCATGCAATGCACGTATGCAGTTATCCAGTGTTCCAATTCCAAATAGCCATGCAGCCAAAGCACATATCAATACTAGAGATTAGAGTCTAGAGGCAAGCACAAACATCACAAGTTCATAACAGCCACGAAATTAGCTTGAAACCCTGCCTTGACAAATATATTAGCCTGCTGAAACAGGCAGGGTATCACCTCAGATCACATAAGCATTATTGAGCATGTAAATATACACATACATGCTTGCATTTCCATGACATAGTTCGATCGCCATGGGGGCCACCTTATGCAGCCTCTGCGAAGCCAACCTTCAGGATGCCGTAGTCAAAGACTGTGTGGTAGGCTCCCATGAATACATCGCCCAAGATCCTGTGTCAGCAAGTAGTCACTTTCAGACTGATGAGGAACATTAATTCATTTTTTCTTTCAGGATTTTAGAAACAAGGACAATCAGTAAACACAACAAAGATCGTGGAGCAATTTCCACACAGAATAGAGCCTGGCCATCTTGATTCTTAAAATCTGGAAAAGCTTAGCATGTGTTTGGTTGGAGGTTAGTTGGAGGGTTCAACTGGGCTTGGGTTGGGTTGGACCCATTTTTTTAGGGTGTTTGGTTTTGAGAGGTGGGGGTTGGGTTCATCCCATATGAGGAATATTCTTCTGAGATGCGGGGTTCATCCGGTTCCATCAAAACGAGCGGACGGGGTTCAACCCACTCGCGCTCCTCGCGTCCGTCCGTGGAGCTGCGGTGCCCGCGGCCAGGGAGAAACGGCGGGGGCGGCCAGGGAGCAGCGGCGCGCGGCGCGGCCTCGGCGAGCTAGCGACCAGGAGCAACACGAGGTAGAAGAAGTTGAGAGGCTAACACGTGGGCCCCATCCCCACTCACACGGAACCTGTGCAACCAAACACAGAACTGGTTCAAACCAACCTCGTAAACCAAATACAGCTGGGTTCGCCCCATCCCAAAAATCAGGCTTGGGTTTAACCCATCCGTGGTGATCACACAACCAAACACATGCTTAGACATCGGCTTTCTCTCGCCCGCCTCCACCTTGGAGTCCTCCTTCCTGCCCGGGCTTTTGGCACCCTGCTGCGCCGGCGCAAGCTCCGGCTTCTCCTCATCCCTCTTCCGCTTGCCCCGTCCCCGGCCGCCAGGCTTTTTAGGAGGCTCCTGGCCCGCGTAGCTGGGCCGGGTTGGCTTGTTGAGGCAACGAGCACTGCGGCGCAGCACGAGCTCCTCCGCCACCAGCGGCGGCGACGGGTTCAGGGGAGTGGCGTCCATGAACGTCGGGCTCGGGACCGGTGCCACCGAATCCACCTTTGCCATCCAACAGCCTTCCGATGCTGCCACAGAAGACGAGGAGCTCACCCTGCGCTCCGCGATAGAGGGAATGGCGGAAGACAAGGGAGGGGAAAAGAAGAGCAGTAAGTAAGAGGCTGAAGCTGAGGAGAAAGAGAAACGCCCATCAAAGTGGCCTGACCTGAAGGCAATCACCAAGATGCAAGAAATGAATGCCGTGCTTTATCCTGAGAAGAGGATTTGGCATCTACCAGGGATCGATGTTCTCGTGCTGAAATGGTGGTGTTGGGCATCCACAGCCATTGGCTCAATGGAATTGACTACATGGGGATGAAATACCAAGGAAAGAAGGAGCACGAGAGGTTAACTTTCCCATTGGCCACCTGTATCGTAATGTCGGAGATATATGAAGATGATCTAGACAAGGCTGATGAAATTATTTATACTAGTCAAGGAGGAAATTTATACAAGTCAAGGAGGAAATGACTTACTTGGTAATCATCGCCAAATTGGCTCTCAGCAGTTGATACGTGGGGATTTAGCATTGAAGAATAGCAGGGATAATGCTGTCCGAGCTATTCGAGGTTATTTGTCAAAGAATAGCTATACTGGAAAGGTCCTACACCTACGATGGCCTTTACAAGGTTGTAGATGACTGGGTGCAAAACGGAGTGCAAGGCTATGTTGTTTTCAAGTTTAAATTGAAGCAGCTTAAGGGTCAGCCATCATTGACAACTTCTGAGGTGCGATTTACTCGTGCAGAAGCTCCCACAACTATTTCTGAATTACCTGGAATGGTTTGTGACGACATCTCTGGAGGGCAAGAAAATATTCCAATTCCTGCTAGTATCAGATCCAGAGGTCTTGAGTTCGAATCCTGGTAGAGGCTACTTAAGTCCTCCGCCCCTTTATTTCCACGTTTGCACCTCTCAGGCTGCTGCGCCTATCTCTGGTTGTGCGCCTCTCCCTGGCTGCATGTGAGTGGGGGTGTTGAAGTGTGTATAAGTGCATTGTCCACCTCTTCCTAACAGCTTAAGCTTTTGGGTTGAACTAGTTGGTGCGTCAACTTAACAGTTACATGAGAGATGATATAAAAACAAGAAAGCTAGATGATGGCTCCTGTATTTATTTTGGATGGGAAAGGCTGTAAGAACCGCAAAAGGAGAATAATTTACCACAGAGGACCACGGGGAGGAGGAATGTCCATAGCTGTGAAACCACTAATGCACTGGGTAGCAGCTCCCTCACCAACCTTCAGGATATACTGTACAATAGAAATGAAAGGGGGGAATCAGATTAGTCTTCTGAAAATCCAAAGAGAGTAACAGAATATAACAATTTGAATGCATGTGAATAGAACAACAAAATATTCCTTTTTGAGCACATCTGATGAAAACTGTCGAATTGATACTTGCAGGACCTCCGATCCATGAATCGATTGCCTCTAGTGCTATCATTAACTTAAAGGTAATATAGGAATAATAATATATATCTGGCCCCGTTCGGCTTGCTGAAACTTGGTTGAAAAACACTGTTCTTGCTGAAATATTGTGAGAGAAAAACACAGTTCCGGTTGAAAAAAGAAGCCGAACAAGCCGGATATAAGGTAAGCCGAACGGGGCCAATATAAGGGACAGATATCTAAAAGTAAGTGGGAAGAAGATATTCTGACAATTGTATGTAGTTTTGCAAAATTTACTCAACAAAAAGTTTATGCTCGCTAAGCTTGATAAGCAATCTGGATGGAGTTTCCACATAGAAACAAGGTAACAGTAGTAGTGAAGAAGCAGTACTTGTTCTGGTTTGAGCACAAACTTTCTGCCCCCAATGGTGAAGGCAATGTCAGGCATGGATGCAAGTCTGCTGCAGTCCACAGATGATTCTCCCATAGGGCTAGGAATCCGTTCACATAGCTGCAAAGTTGAACCAGTTTTGCAACATTCGAAGAATTGTACTAAGTTTGATTCTTCCATTGGTATTACAAGCTACGAAACTAACCTGATTAATGTACTGCAACACTAGACCCTGAGTTTGGTTCTGTGCAAGTTGGCTCTGCATCCATACAACAGCTGTTTCACAGGCATTGCACATTGCATCATTGAAGAGACCATTTGATTTCCCAGCTTCATCATCCACCACACTTTGGATATCAGCACTGCATTGTTGGGTACAACCACACAAAGCATCTATAAGTCACATCTCAGTAATCAAGACACAGACACACAATCTGAGAGCACACAAATAGATGGAACAGTAAATCCATGCAGTTCGCCCTTTCTATGATATTTGATCATCATGCAGCACTCAAATTCAAGTAATTATTACTTTTCACAACCCATACCTAACACCATGAGTTCCATCAAAAGTACATAGACCAACCGAAGAACATATTTTTGCTGGCTGTGTCTGCATCGTTAGCCCAGAGAAAATTTAGCATCCTTTCAACATGCCTATTATATGAATAATAATAAAACTATAAAACTATGACATGAGCTTGAGGATTGCATGCTTTATAAATGTGCAAACCTCTGCTAATAGCTGATCTAGGATATTTTCCCCATATTGAGAAACAACTGTCTTGCATTCTTGGCTGACTACCCCAGCAGCACCAATCTTTTCATTTATCTGAGTAATTATGGCCTGCATATCCGCATAACTCACTAAACATAGAGAGATTAAATTAAAAAAATGCAATGGACCTACTAGCATAGAAATATCTTATCAATCACAGTGTAGATATTTTACATATTATTGTCGCGCTAGCTCATTAGTATGACACTGTAACAACCGAGAAGCACTAAGTAAAAAAATCGACCTCTTGGACTGTTGCAGTGCACACGTTATGTGCTAAAAAGGCGCCTTTAAGCAGAAAACATAGTAGTCAAACTTCTGCAAATCACTTGGCCACTTTGGTTATGAGATATATAATATCAGAAATGTAAAATGAGATCCAACCTAGGAGGAACTAGGTGTTTCTCATTAAAAAGAAAGTAAACAACCAAATTCGGTTGTAAAGGACTCGGACCTAGGTGTTTGAGATGCACACCTCCCACGCTAACCAGTTGACTAGGCTCACTTCCTTAATATAACAAATGTGAAATCATATTCATTTCCATAGGTATCAGGATTCATTAAATAAAGCAATTATAAGTTAATAGTCCCTCAGGATGAGATGTAATAGACCCATTTTCCTTTCTAAGAAGTAAGAACAAAACCAAACAAAGTCCACAACACACCTTGGGACCAGCAAGCAACGAAGTTCCAGAATCTGCTATTGCTGCACAGCCAGCAGCACAGAATCCTAATGAAACAGAGAGGCATTACAAATCCCTGTTCGCTTGTCTTATGAGCCGTACTTTTTTCAGCGAACGAACAGTGTTTTTCTCTCACAACAAATCAGCGAACAATACTTTTCAGCCTAGCTTATCAGCCAAGCGAATAGTAAGTACAAAAATCTGCTTTTAATACATGTATATTTTAATGAAAGCAATGACAAACCCACCTGTGGACTTCCCTCCAATCAGGACATCGCCCATATCAAACTGTAGGAAGCAAATGAGAGATCAATTCATGGGTCAAAGTTGTCAGCAAAAAGTATTTCTCTTTCCAGTTACCAGTGCATATGTTTAAAGTTTAATAGTTACACAATAAACTAGAAGCGGATGTTAACCTGCCAGTATCCCTTCCTAGTGACAGGGACATATGTATGATTTCCCTTATGGTGACTAGGATCAATTCCTCCAAACACAATTTCACCTCCCTGCCCTTCATCAGCATGTCGATTGAACCAGAATGAGAAAATGGGATCATCAACAAGACCTTGGTTAACCATGTTGTACCTACAAATCGGGAGATGTTCAGAATATACAAGCTGTAATCGTTACCAGATTTTCAATACAATTCGTTAGAAAAAAAAGGAGTGACACTATTTGGATATGGTAACCATACGGTATGCACAAAGGGAGCATTCATATCAACTTAGGTATTACCAAACAGACAGACATTACATATATATTTACTTGCTCACCATACAGGTACAGCATTCCCAACTGAGATTTCCTTGAATCCAAGCCCAAGAATGCCGTCGAATTTTGCAACCATGAAAGTAAGGCTTGGTTCCCTCGTAGCTTCAATAAAATCCTAACAGAACAATGCAACAAAATCAGCATACATTAAGGATGTACATGACCAGATAACATAAAACAAGTGTATACATGGTGACACAATAAACCTGTTTTTTTCACAATGACATCACCAATTTTCATGCTGTCCTGGCTGAAATAGCCAGAAATTGCACCAGTACCATAATGTATTGAAGCAGACTTCCCTGCAAGATGGCGCAGTGATGATATCGACAAGTAAGTCTTATAGTTCTACACAAACACTACGATTTTTAGCTTCCAAAAGAAAAAAAAAACATCTAAGCTAATATGTCTTTAAAAATACTTTATGTACATCAGTATCTAGCTAAAATTTCTGAATTAGTTGTGCCATTCTTCATGCAATATATTTTGATAGAGAATTTATTTGAACGCGGATATATCAATTTATTTTTCTAAAAACGTGGTAAAATTAGAGAAGTTTAACTTAGAATAAAGCCTAAGTGAACTATAATTTGGAACGGCTCAAAACAGCCACTAAACCTACACGAGGCATTGAAAGAGTATTGATAGATCATATATATATATATATATATATATTAGAAATACACCACTAATCTCCACAAAACAAAAGGAGGGCTGAAATCACAAACCATTCTTCTTATAGGTGTTCGACTGGCTGGCCTTATACCTCGCATGGAAGTAGCAAGCGATCTGCAGCAAAAAACCCAAAAGGCACTCTTCAGTTCAGAGCCACACACACAACTACACAGTTAGTAAAACAGTCTCAACCACAGAACCCAACACCGTGCACGATGCACACCGAGAAATAGCACTTGGAGCCTTGGAGGAGGGCACCCAGAGGTTGGAGCTGCCGGTGTCGAAGATGACGGTGAACTTCTGCAGCGGCGTGCCGATGCCGATCTCGCCGTAGTACTGCGCGTTGAGGTAGTTCTTCAGCGCCACGATGTCCCCCTCCGCCTCTGCCTCGGCTTTCTCCGAGGCCGCGGCGGCGGCGGCGTTGCTGCCGAGGAAGCCACGGCGCCGCTCGTCATGGAGGCGGCCGTTTTTGTCGGCGGGCCGCTTCTTCAGCGGGATGCGGACCACACCCTCTGCTGGCGCGGGGAGGAGAGCCTGCATCATCGCGGCGGAGAAGAGGAGGAGGAGCGGGACGCGACCGGTTCCCATGGCTGCACGGCGAGCTGCGAATCGGAAGACGAATTAAGATGAGGAAGCGATTAATACAAAATTGGTGATCAAGGCGAAAGCGAGTCGGGAGGGTTTACGAAAAATCTCAACAGACGATCGAACCGATCACCAGTTTGGGGAGATTTTTGGATACTGGATCACTAACAAAAAAAAAACAGAAACACCAAAGCTAAACTGCGAGAGAAGCGAACTGAAAATGGCGGAATTGCGGTTCGGTTTGATTGAATCCAATGCCGCCGCAAAACCCACCAAAACTGACCGAGATCGATAGCACGAGTGCTAAAGTCTGTTCGATTCGAATCACCCTGCGATTCCGTGAAGCCCAACCCAAATTCCGAAGCGAAGAACTCTGCACTCACCTGAGCAGGAGCAACCACCCACCCGTGCTGGCGTGCTGCACTGCTCGGTGGGGGCTCTCGCTCGAAGGAACGGGGATCGCGAGAGCAGAGTGGAGTCAGGCGTCTACGTGGGTCAACTTTATAGTGACGTGGACACTGGTGTATATTCTAAAAGAAATTATGGTGACGTGGTTGGAGTGGAAGAACTGAGCTTAGGCTTTGATGAGCCGTTTGATTGAGATAGAGCACCAGTTTCTATGAGCTCAAAGTACTAGCTAGCCAGCTAGGAGTAAGCAGTTTGCTATGCGCCGATGCGCGGGGGAGGAATACTGGCACGCAACGCGCGGAAACTGAATGCAAACAACAAAAGTGTTTTGTTTTAACTTCCCGACTGAAACAAAAAAAAAACACTAAAACACAGATGCTAGCGTGTGTCATACGGTTCAGGAACCCCGAAGCATGACAAGTGAAGACTTCATCATGCCCTACGTATTTGTACTGAAAAGATACAAAGTTCTACCAACAAGTTTGTTTGTCCTCTCCGGGACAACTGTGGGGGTTGGTGGTGCCAAAAAACAAGAGTCAGGGCGTTCGTGTGTGCTAGTCGGCTGCTGACAATTCTCTAGCTAGTCTCTAGTGTAAACTCAAGTCACAAAGGGATGTACGACTGCATTGGTGCGTCTATCAGATGCAGACGGCACACGCTGCAGAACAAGCATTCGTTCGTCTCGTCGGCCCAGCTACGCTCCATGCAGCCCAATCCGACGCAAGCAAACCTGTGTCCACCTGTGTTGCCTGGCAGGCCTGATCTCAATCAAACAGGCCCTAAATCACAGATCTGTTTCCATCGGGGTCCGTCCAATCGTCAGACGTCAGCCCGTGTCCTGCCGTCCCTCTCGTCTCTCCTCTCAGGCGCCACGCAAAACGGACTCCGCTTTCCCTCTCCGGATCCGGCTCCGGCGAAGCCGCGGGAGCCACCGATGCTCCGGGCCTCAACGGTGCACGCGCGTCTCCTCCTCTCGCGCTCCTACGTAGGCCAGGTGCGCATGAGTTGATTCCTCTGACCTCCGTGTAAGCACATCATCAAACACCTCCCGGGCACTACTGATTGCCTCTCTCTCTCTCTTGGCCGTGCAGGCAATGGCAGCTTCTCGCTGGCCTCTCGTCCGCAGGAAGCCTTCGTATCTTGGATCTGTACGGTATATCCTCGTTTTACCTACAACTTTCTGAGCATCATCGCAGCATATGCGTGCGCCTGCGTGCCCTACGAGTGGCTACTGCTATGCCGGTGCAAGAACTTTAGCGAAGGCTGTGTTAATTCTAGAAAGTGGGATCACATGAACTTTTTTTTGTATGAAACTTTATTATATTTAGTTCAATGCCATTTGGCTCATGTCCCAGGAACATATAATGTTTTTGTTCTATAATCAGATTATTAACTTGAAAGAATGGTCTTTCGAGGGATTTTTTTTTGAAAGAACCCACTCAAGAAAGGATTAAGAATTGATGTTTCATGTGGAATTGGGGATTTGTACTTTTTGTGTACAATGATCTATTAGTGAACCAAAGAGTTGTTACACTTGGTTGGTATTTAAGTACTCTACACTGCTTGGTATGCTACTTAAGAAATGTGATGGGGTATTAGACACAGCCTTGCAAACATTTTTATTCAATCAAAAAGTGCCCTTTTCATGCCTGTTATATGCACGGCTAGATATGAAAACAATGTAAAATTTGACCTAGGAAACCAAGTTTGTAAAGCTGTGCTTATGGTTTTCTGAACTCATGATTATCCACCAAATCACCTTGAAGCCTATGACTCTTATGTTCAAGCTCCCTGAAAATGGTATTATTTCGTATCCTGTGTGTGCTTTTTATATTTTGTTCACTGAATGCAGACATCACTATTTATGCAGCCCTTTCTATCAAATGGACACTACAGGGCAAGACGAAAATAATATTTTGACTGCAAGAGGGTGCCATAGCTCCCCTGAGAGTCAAGGTCATCTTCATATCATTGGTTTCTATAAAGTTGCCTCTTACTGACTGAAATTAATCTTGCGCAGATTTGATGCATACATTAATGCTTCCATCAATTTTATACATATTAATGTTGTTGTGTGAGCATCTTATCTATCACTGATGACATTGTAAGACATGGAAAAGTCACACCATTCTATATTTTGTCATGTTATCTATCCTTTTAGTGATTTTGTTTTCAGATTTGAAGTAATCCTTCTCAATGAATTCTTTGAAATGTAAAAGAGCCAAGACAATGATAAGCACATCATAAACATGCACGTATGATCGTACTTCCTGAGTTATAATTAGGGTACCTTCTTATGGCCATGGTGAACAAATAGTGAAGCATTAATTACATATGGTGCAAAGCTTTTATACTCCCAAAGTCATTTTATTTTATTCTTCATAAGAAAAAAAAATATGTTAGAAACTTAGGATCATATTCTTCTGACTATGACCAGATTTTTTTAACTCTTTAATGGTATGTCTCCGCCTCACACTCTTTAAATAATCCTATGTATTTTTATTATTTCAGAATTAGCAATGAAAAGCTGTGTTCCATGCAACTCTAAGGATTTACATCCCATGTCAGAAGATTCTGCTAATGAGTTGCTTGAACAGGTCTTGATCTTGTATATTTTTGAAAATTTGGTTAATATCATCCTAATTTCTACTCCATTGGCTGATACCTGAAAACAGGTGAATGGTTGGGAACTGATCACTGAAGGTGGTATTCTGAAATTACATAGAGCATGGAAGGTGAAGAACTTTGTTAAGGGACTTGAGTTCTTTCAACTTGTTGCTGCTATCGCTGAGGAAGAAGGTATTTCTTTGGCCAATAGTCAACTCTTTCACTTATATTGTACAATTAGAATCAATCCAAGAAACTGCAACTCGAACCGTTTTATCTGTAGAATGTAGTTGTCTAACTGCCTGTTCTCCTATGACTGTTATCTGAACAGCATAATGGACAGGAGAGCCACGAACCCTACTCCAGTAAAATTTGGGGAATTATTCTAGAATTCATATGAAGGAAACTGAAACATTTCATGAGATACTATTCCCTTATAAATACAAGATGTCAGAACGAAGCTACTTTGCATCAATGTACTGTGCAGGGTGTTTACTCTAGTTTCATAGTTACACGTGACAATTATGTATAGCATGCTGTGAAAGTTTCATATTTGGTGAAAGTGTGAAACCATCCAAAAACTGGTCGTAAGTTTTGCTATCCACATAGAATCCAATAAATTGGTGCAAAATTTTCTTTTATAACAATGTGAGGACATTATGTTCAAACAGATATGCCTTTTCCAGGTCACCATCCAGATCTTCATCTTGTTGGTTGGAATAACGTGAAGATTGATGTTTGGACTCATTCTGTCAGTAAGTGATTCATGTGGTTCTTTTTTTCTAGTTTATTTTGATTTATGTGGCACTTAGGCAAATCACTTTTATTAGCTTCTTTTCAAATTATTCATTCCAAAACTAGACATCACCTCGGTCACAATAAGTCTGATGACCAGGCAATTTTCCCATCATTAAATTTATTCCTTCAGGGATTTGGACATTGTTATCAATCAGTTTGCAATTTTCCCATCCAAATAACCAGATCCATATGCTTTTTCTTTTTCTTTTGCTTTGTTATATTTATATAAGTTTTTAAACACCTTGAACCAATCAAACATTATATGTAAATTTTTAAGAGAAAAGTATGAAGCTCAGGACAGCACTTTGCAATTACAAATTTGCCCAGGGAAAGGTATGCTAAAGCTTAAAAATGATAAAATCACTTGTTTTTATTGAATCCTTTATTCTGCTAAAGTTCACAATAATGGAGATATACTTTAGTCTATCTACTACTGCTAATGGTTTAGCACTAGGTGTCTGTTAGAGCTTATTTTGGGTGTCAATGTTATGCAATTGCACTTCAATTGTGAGCTGGAAACCCCAGCCAACTTACTTTCTATTAAAAACTGAGGCATGCCTTTGCTCTGGTATTGATCATTTATTGTGTTCATAGGAGGTTTAACAAGTAATGATTTCATCCTTGCTGCGAAGATCAATGATCTCACTTTGGAAGGCATTATAAGGAAGAAAGCTACATAGCTAATGTCTCAGAAGTAACTCAGATCCGTCGACCCAAGCAGTCCTGTTTTATGTACTCCACTCAAAATACGTAACTTGTATTTGCTTGGGAAAAATGTATACAGCGTTGGAGAAGTCAAATTTCGAGGTCACCTCACCTGAGTATGAGTTCAACTTGCTGAAAAATAGTACTTCAATAGCTCATTGTAGTTTGCTAATTAGTAGTAATTTCCTTGAGATGGACGTTGAATCCATCATTATACTTGGTTATTACCTGGCAGTTTGAAACAACACATAGACGAGGAAACATAGCGAGCCATTGCTACTTTCTTTAAGACAGGCCATCGACTTAAAGCCCTGGTTATTACCTGGCAGCTTAAAGCCATGTTCGCTTGAACTTATTAGTCCGGCTTATCAGTCATGGTATAGTGTTTTTCTCACAACAAAACAGTATCAACCGGCTTATCAGCCACAGAAACCATCAGTTCGACAATTGAGATCTTACCGTACTTAGTGATAGGACCAAGTTCG